TGAGTACATTGTCGAATGCTAGAAAAGCAAATGTGACCCGCTCTATCGAAATCTGTCGGAAGTCGCAACGGCTCATTTCAAAATAAACGTATTTGTGTAAAAAAATAGTTTTTCGGGTTTGGGTTTTTTGTTTGATTTTAAATAAACTAAGTCTTGGCTTTCAGAATATTAAACTTCTTTCGGCAAATTCAAAAAAGCCTTTTTTTTTTAATGGTCTAATAAATATAAAATCATTGCCAGTATTATCAGTTGCAAGTGTGTATTTGTTATAATAATGACATAATACATTTCACACTAATTATAATACAAAATAAAAACGATTTCCTTAAAGAATTATGATTCGTCATCACACTCGTGACCCCGCGGCGCTAACGTTAACGCTAGCTGCGCTATAACGTTCCCCTGGATAGCTCAAGCTCACCTTTCCCAGATGTATGGACGGAGGAGATGTGGCGGAGGAATACCCGTGGATAGACTGCAAAGCTGGGCTGCAAAGTTTGTTCATCCATTTCGGATTTATCAGTCTTCAAAACGCAAGGGGTGTGTGTGTGTGTGTGTGTGTGTGTGTGTGTGTGTGTGTGTGTGAAAAGCAACGCTGTCTACTTATTTGCAATGTCTAGGCCTAATCAGAATACTTGTAGGCTATATTTTTCGTTTCGTTTATAAGTTAATTTCAGGATAACTTTGGGAATTTTGTTTGTTTGTTATGAGTTTGAGTGAGAGTGAGAGATCTGGATCTGCTTAGTTGCAATACTGTAGTTTATGCAACTTAGGCCTATAAATTGTTTATGTAAACTTATGTGCGAGTGTGTCCATGGTTTTGAGTCTGTGTGTGTGTGTTGAGCGCAGCGCCGTCGGCTTTTGCAGTACAGTAACTAAAGTAGGACTAACCATGCCGGTAGTTTCTGTCAGAGGTGGGAGTAAGTTCTACATGTGCAAGTCATGAGCACATCTCAAGACTTCACCCACAAGTATCAAGCAAGTCCCAAGTCATTGTGGTGAGAGTCAAGAAAGTCAAGTCAAGTCATTGCTCAGGTCAAGCAAGTCAAGTCATACGAAATTCTGATGAATAAACCCAGTTTCCGCATTTAAATCAGTTAAAAGAAAGTGGTTGTTAGAGCCAGTATTTTGATTTTATAAGAAAGGCCACCTAATTGTGACGTCTGTAGTCAACGCACTATAAAGGACTACAATTCCCACACCGCCTGTGCTAAAGCCGCAGTGATGGGCAACCTGTTGAGAGACGCCGTTGAGGAACAGGTTTTAACCGTACACATACAAACCGTACAAGTACCCTTTAAGTTGTGAAGTTATAAGCATTATCAAGAAAGAAAGAATACCTAAGTTGTTTGCTATTT